TATTTTAACTTATTTTGACTCTATTTTTGATTCAAAAATATAATTTATATAAATATTAAATTATAAAAATATTCATTATTTTTAAATGAATTTTTTTAAAATTCCCGCGAGCAAGCCCGCCTAGCAAACCAGCGTCATAGGCTCGCGGGTTAGGATGCGGGTAGTCTATCCCTACCCGAAGCCTGGCCGGTCCCGCTCGATAACTCACTTGGATATGAGTTTGGGTCTACATTGTCCAGATCCAATTCTAAAAAAAATTTGTTGGTCTAGCCCAAAAAAATCATCATTATTAATTTTTGTGATTATTTTTTATAAAATTTGAAGATCATTTACAAATTTTATACATCATTTACAATTTTAGTGAGCCACTTGAAATCGATACTAAAAAATTTTAGGGATCAATCTCAAGTAGCCCACATAAGTTGCAACTTGAACCATAAAAATTATAAAAAAAAATATTATATAATAACTTAAAAATTGTAAAAACACCAACAAAAATTATAAATTTTAGAGATACAACACTAAAAACAAATTCGATACTGTAATCTTCTTCGATAACATTTATATCATAGTTTAATTGTTCTCACTTTGCTTTTTTTGTTAATAGAATTGAAAGAATGGCAAATATTATAATTAGTTGTCAACGCGTGACGTTTTGGTTGGCAGAATCTTGAAAGAATTCGTATTAATCCAAAAAAGGGGCCGAGACTTATTGGTGATGTTTGATTGATAATTACAACTTAGCCTACATATTTTGTGAAATGGGTCAGATTTGGATGTTGATGAAAAAGTGCAAAAAACGAGTCAACTAATAAAACAATCAGCTCAGCAGTGCAGTGACTATTCAAATTCTTATGGCTTCCAATTTATTGGTCCGTTGCATGATAATTATGTATCATGTATAATAAATTAATCTAGACCACAAGTCGTGGTAGATGCAAATGATGCTTTGTTACTTGGCTTTGAAGGCAAGACAGAAACTACTGTCATTATTGGACTTAATATGGAAGGCAAACTAGGCTTGATATGCCCATAAAACAATACCCATCATATGTTCCACATACCAATCATTATTCTCGGAAAACATACATAGTCATATGTTAGTTACACTTCTAAATATTGTAAAAGTTTAAGATGTTAGAAGTGTATTACTTAAATATTTATATATTTTAACACGTTTCTAAAGAACCAAATTTTGGGTCAAGCACTCGATTAAAAGTATTTTGATTATTAGGGGACAGTTAGATTTGAAACGCATAACTATTATCTGTTTTGAGATTTAATTAAACTATTATTTACTCTATTGGGAGCTTTGAGGGCTCTCCTCTCTGTCGCCTTTCCTCATCTTGTTGTTCTTATAAGCAAAGGAAGAAATAAGCAAAGGAAGAAATCTAACTCCTAGAATTTAGATTAATCAAACGACATTTTTGAAATTTGGCATTAAGTGAGAAGTAGAAAATACCTTAAAAAGATGTCAATTGAGAGAAGAAGGCTTGCTGCTTTGACTTTAAATGCTCTTATTGTGGCGAGCAAGAGCGGATTGAGGGTTTGAAAAAAAACAAACACAAAACTTTGTTCCTCAACAACTATTTGGCTGAAAAAGGTACTTGGAAACTTCCTCTCCCCCAGCAAGCAAGATGAGATCATCACTTGTCTTGCTATAAGAGAGATAGAGTAAGGTGTTCTTATGGTTATCTCCTCTTTGCATGAAAAAGACAATCTTATGAACACGATGAAAATAAACATAACATTGTCTAATGTACTCCTCCTCCATGAATGCTCATAGCATATACCATATAAATGTTCACGGAGCTCTTCGAAGAAGGTAGCGTCCCCTTAGTAGTAATACAAATCCGATGATGTAAATTAATTATTTATATACTTATGATTAGAGACCAATAATAAAGCAGAAAGTCAATCAATCACACATACATAGAGCCAATGATGGACTTAATTTGACTATAGAACCTATGATTGTTTGTACTCCGCCATGTCCCTTTTGTTAAACAATCTAATAAAAGAGAAATACAAGAGATAAGAAAAGAGGAGACTTGAGTTTTATTGATACTGTATAGTTTAATTGAATACAAAAAAGTGATTTAATCTAAATACAAATGGACTATATATAAGCTAAACAAAGAGAAAGTAAATAACTATTCTACCATTAATAAACAAAATAACCAATAATCCTATATTTCTTAACACCTTTGATAGGAAGGATTGTGAATATGCATAGAGACAATCGATGATGGTTTTGTCTAAGAACTTCGACCTTTTGTTATCTACCAACTGGAACTCACAACTTCTATATTAGTTATCTAAATGTCTAAGCTTGTGGTTTATTAATTAAAGTTCATGATCATGTTAGGTACAGTGAATTAAAAAAATACCAAGGTATATGTACGTAGATTATTATTCCCAATAAACAGGAGAAAAATCTCATTTTGTACCCTGAAAAATAATTTAATTTTCAATTTACACCTTCAATGTTATGAATAGATAGTAATGTGGATCCAACTCAAACTATTGTTTAATTTTTCGTCATAGAGTGAAACACGTGAGGTGCAAGTGCTTCGAGCATGAGCATAATGTATATCCATCAATGTAGATCTTCATCTCTAATTAATTTGACACTGTTTTGTGTATCAAAAATAAAATTTTATTAATCAGATAGAGCCTAACCCTATCATGTGCAACTCACATGAAGTGCCAACAATTTATAAATTTACACTTAAGCATATGCTTGAAGCACTAGTAAATCGCGTGCTTCAATTTATGACGAAAAATTGAACGACAATTTGGACAAAGTCCACATTATTATCAATTCATAACATTAAGGGTACAAATTAAGATTTTTAATATTTGAGAGTTCAAATTAATAATTGAAGCACCTTTCGGAAGGCAAAGTGAGATTAGCCTTAGTTTAATTCATTCCTTCTAAAAGTAAAGGTACATTGATGTTGAACTTATAATAAAATTAAGGTTCTTTATGTAAACAAGAATTTATAAAGGTGAAGTGAGATTCCTAATCAAACTTATCTATTAATAATACAGTAGTGTTATGCTGATCAAATTTGAAGCCCAAAATCCGATCCTCATCATGAAGGGGGTTCAATGGGTCGAAATTCTTCTCATATTCTTCCACACCTTTTCTGCAAATCTTTCTGTCATTTTAGGTCTTTTGGTGATGCTCTGTGTTTTCTATATCAAGGGGTTTCCTTTTTCAGAGAAGCACCTTGCTTCCTGGTGGTGGTTTCCTCAGAAAATGTGCAGTATTATAACCTCGAATTACAGATAACCAATCCCTTTCAAT